TTGCCTAGGATTCGGCTCCGTTTGAGATGGTAGCTTTTCCGAATCCATAGCTTCAAGCCTACTCACGACATTTTAGATTTGGCTGATTTGGCTTTCCAAGTTGTGGATGCTGGATTTTGTTGTTTCTTGAAATTGGACCACACTTTGTTGCATCGTTTCCATGTTCATGGCAAGTGATCGAATCATGTCTTCGGTGGACATGTTCGAGTTCGAAGTTTGGCCTTGTTGTTTAAATTGTTGAGGGGCGGGGTTTGATGGTTGAGGAGGTTGAGAGTTTCCGTACCTCAGATTAGGATGATCCCTCCATCCCGGATTGTAGGTGTTGCCGTGAGGGTTATACCTCTTTTGATTTTGAAACCCCAAAACATTGACTTGTTCGGAGTTCTCCTCTTGTAGCGTTGGGCAAGAGTCGGTGGAGTGCCCTTGTGTCGAGCATATGCCGCAGACCTTGACTTCCTGGGTTTTTGGATTTAAGAGAAAATCTTTAACCAAAGAAGTCAAGCCGGCTACTTGACTTTCCATCGAGTTGTTGGATTCCGCCACCATAACTCGTTTTGATGACCGCCGGTCATAGTGTCTACAATTCTCGGCCAACTCCGAGATAAGGTTTCTAGCTTGAGAAGGCGTCTTGTTGACAATTCCCCCTCCACATGCGGCGTTGATCATCCGCCTATCTTCATTGCAAAGACCATCATAGAAGTATAAGATGAGGTCTTGCTCCGAATAGTCATGGTATGGACAGCTTGCACAAAGTTTCTTGAATCGTTCCCAATATTCGTAGAACGATTCGTCATCCTTTTGCTCCACATTGCTAATTTGCTTTTTGAGAGATGAGGAGACAGAGGCAGGGTAATACCTTTCGAGGAAAGCTTTCTTCATGGCCACCCATGTACCTATACTTCCTGAAGGAAGATAGAATAGCCAATCCTTTGTGGTATCCTTTAGAGAAAATGGAAAAGCCCGCAGTTTGATTTGTTCTTCCGTCACACCGTTTGGACACATGCTTGTGCAAACGACGTGAAACTTCGAGAGGTGTTTGTTCGGATCCTCTCCTCTCAGACCATGGAAGGATGGCAGCAGATGAGTGAGTCCAGATTTTAGCTCAAACGTATTACCCTCATCAAGTGTAGGGAAGGTAATACACAGTGGTTGTTGATTCAAGTTCGGAGCTGTGAGCTCCCTCAGTGTTCTTGTTTCAAGAGCCATGTGGAAGGACTCTTCGGATTCGCTAGAACTCGAGCTAGCGGTGGATGAATATTTGGTAGATGATTCTTCCGAGTCGGTATTAGAAAATTTACTTTTCAACCGCTCGAAAGTTTGTTCTATTTCGGGGTTTGTTTGATAGGTGATTTCGTTCAGTGAACGATATTTAACCATATACTTCAAAGCTCAGAAATAGAAAAATAAGAACTCTTTATATTTTTATTTAATATTTTTTTTATATTTTCTTGAAATACAATACAAGAAAAATAATTGCCTTTCCCCGACAACGGCGCCAAATTTGACGTGCACTTGTCGTGAGGTGCACTCAAAATAAATACAATACAACAATTATACGTAGTATAACGAAGTAAGGTTCGTATCCACAGGGAAAGGAATACTTTTCTTTTATATAATGAGTAACAAAAGGGGGGGTTTTGAGTTTGATTTAATTTAATTTAATTAACACTAAGATGAACGACTTATGTGGTTTAATTAATAAAGATGATGACTTGGTTTTGCTTTTATCCACTTAATGAAATGTTCGTCGATCCCGGTTATATCTTTAACTATCTTCCTCTCGAATACTCAATCGAGGAGTATATCCAGTTCATCGAGGGTTGTTATTAATAACGAGATGCATTCATTAATAAAACTTACTATCGAGTCAATATAGAACAAGCGCCGTATATTAACTTGATAGTAGCAATAAACTTAAGATGAAAACGATTGAGATTGATAACCTCAACACAAGCGGTTTATTGGTTTAATCAATATAATTAATTCCCCTTCACATATTAACCATGAGATGCATGCATTAATAATCCAAGTTTACTACTGTTGAAAGAATCGGATTAATAACAAACGTATTAACCGATTGATTCTAGTAATAATTAATATAAGAAACAAGACTAGTTGATACTTTAAGTAATGCTCAAAATATTAATATGGAATATGAATAGGAAAGAATTAATATTCAAGAAAGAAGATTAAAGAAAATAACTCACAACTTACAAATCATTAAGCTTCAAAATAGCAAAACCAAGATGGAAGAGTTTAGCTCCTCATTTCAGGGTCAATATAAGGCGCGTGTTCTATATTGACTTGGTAGTAAGTTTTATTAATGAACATATCTCGTTATTAATGACTACGACCCTCGATGAACTGAACATACTCCACGACTGAGTATTCGAGAGGAAGATAGTGAAACATATAATCGGGATCGACGAACATTTCACTAAGTGGATATGAGAAAAATTAAGTCTACATTTCTATTAAATTAAAACACATAAGTCATTTATCTTAGTGTTTAAATACTCTCAAGTTCAAAACAATCTTAAAACCCTAATTGTTACAATTTCATAAAAGAAAGATATTCCTTTTCACGTGGACACGATCCGACTACGCTATATTATAGTATTAGTGTCAGTATTGAATTTATTTTGAACCACACAACGACTTTAGTGTCTTCAATGAACTTGACAAGTATTGTTATGGTAGTTTGAGAATAATTGAATATCATCTTAATGTTGTTGATCGTGAAAAGAAATTGGAATAATTCGACAATTCGAGGTGATTCTTGGATACAAGAGAACACTTTACAGAAGATAAAGATAAATTGTGATTCATTGCAAATTGAACTCAATAGGGAGGAGATGGTTATGACATTTTTATTGTGCTCAATTTATTGTATTTAGCTTTGTTTATCTTACCTTCAGGGCCGGCTAGAGCAATTATGAGGCCCTAGACGGTCATGTAGAAATTTTGTTTTAAATATGTTTTATTTAACCCAATAATATAAAAAATAGCAATTAAATATAAGTAAATTACATATAAAATACATCATATACTATTAACACAGTGAGAATATTCTTCGAAATCAGAAGATCAAAGTTGATGAAAAAATACAAAGAGCCCTAGAGGGAGAAGATTTTGTGCTTACATACAACATACCGATCGATAGAGCCGGAAAGCGATTTCATGACCAAATCATTTCTTAATTTTTTTCTTTGTCTTTGTACATCTTGATTCATATTTTGTTTTCCAATCATCACAAAACATAAAATTTCATTCAAAATAATACTATCACTAAATATAAGTTAATGGTTCATAGATATAAATTTAATTCACTAAATTTAATCAAATATAAAAAATTATAAGTATGTTCAATATTTCGATGAATCAAAATAACAAATTACAATTTCAATTATTCAATAAGCATTCAAATATATTTAGAATACTCATTATCCTAAATCCCTAGCCCTACTGCCCTAGCCAACAAAGAAAAAAAAAGGAAAAAGGAGCAAATAAGCCCACATACTAACCAAAAAGGTCAAATAAGCCCTTGTATAAGAGACTTTGTCCCGCCGTCGCCATTTGGGGCAGTTCCCGGTGGAATTTTTTGATGAATTTTTTTGAGAATCTTATTCATTAAGTCGTGTTTACTTATACCAAATTTCAGCTAACAATTCAACATGGAAGGCATTCAAATAAATTCTTGAAGATAACTGCGCTTTTAACTGCGCAGTTATCTTCAAGAATTCATTTGAATGTCTTCCCGATTGAATTTTTAGGTGAAATTTGGTATGAGTAAACTAGACATAACGAATAAGATTCTAAAAAAAATCATCAAAACTTTAAAAAGGAAATTATCCCAAATGTTGACGGCCGGACAAAGTCTCCTAAATAATATTAATAAACTTATTTTATAAATTAAAGGCCCCTAAAATTTGGAGGCCCTAGACACTTGTCTAGGGTAACTCCCCCTATGGCCGGCCCTATGGCCGGCCCTGCTTACCTTGTAATTAACCTAGACTATATAAAGTCATAGGTTAATCGTTCGCTAGTAAGATTTTAATTATCGATATCCGCATTAATCAATTAGCTTTGAGCACTGTGTTTTATATGATCAGATAGCTCAGCTTCGTAGAATACTCTGTAATTCAACTCATGATCATTATCAAGTATTCAATGAAATCTTGCAATTCCTTGGAGTCCATCCATGGCTTCTCCCAGACCTTAGCTTCATAAACCTTTTTGTGATTAGTACCTTTATCATACTCATTTCGTAAGTTATGTATGCTCATTTGGTAGTAATGGTATGCTCATTTTAAAATATCATATCAATAATGCATATTTTGAAATTATTATACTACATTAAATTCGCATATTGTTTTTAATTGAAATCGATTATAGACATAATTTCAGAAATCTTTTTTTTTTTTAAATTACATTAGAAGATTTGAATCAGATTTCACGATACTCATTTTTAGGCTCCTATTACTCAAAAGAATAGGCATGATGCTCACCAAACTTGCATTAATGCTCATTCCAGACAAATCGTGATTTTCATCAAAATTACAAAATTGTCCCCGATGTACGGTGCAAGTCGTACATCCGGATGTATGGTATACGAACTGGTCAATTATCACTCATATTCTACAACATAATTTGCTAATCAAGCTGACTAGTTTATTGTGGTTAATAAGGTGAAATTCATTTTTTAAACTTTTATTTCAAAATAAAATGCAAACACACATATATTACATTATATAATCGTAAGATCTTCTCACACGTTCAGATGCTTGGCTACTATACTAATGGATGTTAGTAATTATATCTAAAATAAAATGTGATAATTGCAAGGTAGATAAATGGTGCGCATTAACAAACAATATTCTCATTACCTTTAAAAAGTGATACATATTTTCTAACAAAAACATGTTATTGAGAGTTAATTAAAAGAAGTCTTACATAAAGTTTCCACATCCTCTTACCCTTGTGTTTTTCCTTGATTACACACTTACACATGCATAAAGTTTACATTGTCATGCGTGCAAATACTTATTTTACATCGTACTAATCACAAACAAACTTAATACTCATGCTAAACTAGATGTACTCCATTTTTTGTAATTTCATTAATTTTATTTTACTGTCGATTATGAAACTATTTCAAAGATAGAGATGAAAAGGCAACCGTGGAGTGATGAAAACTTGTAGGGGAATCTCCTTTGTGGAACCTAGTCCAATAGCTTCGGACATGTCAATGAGGTCACTTGAAGGTCTTCTCACATCAAAACCCTGAATAATGTTAGCCAACCCTAATTGCACACTTTCAATCCCAAAAGAAATCCCTGGACATATTCTCCTTCCACTTCCGAAGGGAAGTAGTTCAAAGTGTTTGCCTCTCACATCAATTTCCTTGAGTTGTTTTGTCAAGAATCTCTCTGGTTTGAATATGTCGGGATCCATCCAAAAGCTCGAGTCACGATGAATCTTTGAAACATTTATCAATAAACGTGTGCCCTTGAAGATACGGTAGCTGTTGATTGTGCAATCTTGTAGAGCCTCATGGGGTATCAAGAGGGGTCCTGGTGGATACAAACGCAATGTTTCTTTGACTACGGCTTGAAGATAAGTCAAATTGTTTATATCAGAGTCAATGACTAGCCTTTCTCTCCCAACATGCTTGTCCAATTCACCTCGGATCTTTTCCAACACATCCTCTTTATTCAAAATCAAAGACAAAGCCCATGTCAGTGAATTTGCAGTTGTATCTGTACCTGCTGCCAACAGTGTCTGAAATGAAACGTAAACACAATTTGTTATATGGTTTAACACAACTCGAAAATGAAAAAAACAAGTTATCTACTTGATAAACAAATCAGTAGCACCTCAAACGTCATACAAAGTGTTAGAATGAACAAAAAAGGGGATGCAATTATACATTCAATAAATGATACTTCCATTAAAACTTTGCCAAAGTTGACTGGCACGGAGAATAGTAAAGTAAAAACTGTGTGGTTGAAGTTTGTACAGAGGAAAGAAATAACAGAAATCACAAAATACTTGATTAAAAGGGAAAGTGGTAAAAATTTTTGGGACCTCCAAAAAAGGAAAGATGACAAAGTTTTAAAGGACGCGGAGTACCGTACCGTAAACATTTTCTTGGTACCGTTACAATACATTCAATAAGTAGAAACTTGTGCATAATACTTGCTTATTTTCCACATACCGACATACGTTATCCTATCAACTTGAAAACCTTAAATTATTTGTGCTTCTTTGAGATCAGAGTAGTTTTAAAATGTTTTTACAGAAAATACATAATAGTAAAAGTTAACAATATTTAAAAAAAGCACCTTTGAAAAACTAAAAGTTGATAGTGTACGATAAAAAAAGATTTTTTTTGTAATAGAAAAAATAAAAAATAAAAACAAAGCACCCATCCACTTCCTTCTAACTTTTAATTTTAAGCGCTTAAATTAAGTAACAAATGGTACTTGAAAACACTCATGCCATCCTTTTTAAAATCAAAATATGGGAAATACTTTTGTAAGTTTTTGCAAACACTTTCTTAGTTGTCCCCATTACTATTACCCGATGCTATATAATCAGCCAACAAAATTTCCTCTTATTATTTAGTTTTTATTATGTATCAAATTGTTACTTTTTGTTTAATAAAGCATATATTATAACTTCTAAATATTTCAACTTTGAACATAATTGTAATTTAAGAGTTCTTTTCATAACATTAAAGTTGAATATCTTTAAAAACATTAAAGTTATATGAACCCATTGCATTTTAATTATAACATTACATAAGTTGAGACTGAGTTGTCTCCATATGATTACGAGAAATTGCTCCAAATATGCCTAAAAATTGATAAAGTGTATAAATATGAATAATTATATTTTATTCCTGAAATTAAACTTATTCAGTTTCATTAAAAGTATAAAGCTTTTCCAAAAAGAAGTGAATTGAATGAGTCATATTTCAGTAATTTTCTATTTTAGTATAACTTTATCTATGTTTCAATCATATAAATACATTTTATTAAAAAGTAAAGTAGAATTGTATGAAAATTTTCATATCTAGTTTTTTCTTTCTAACTATCCATTTTAATCTATTTTTAAAAATTTCAAATAAGCAATATTGATACATAAGAAAAATCATAAAAGGGGCTAAATATCACCATTTACTCATAAAAGGGGCTAAATATCTCAAGTATATATTGCTTGCTCTCCCCTTGCCTTAAAACTATAGAGTGAAACTAAAATTGTAGGGAGTATACTTTCTTTTAGACTATTTTCAGTCCCAGACTAGATCAAACCAGATCAGACCAGACTTCCATAGTTATAACATAAATAGAGACCATATGTTTACCAGACCAAATCAGACCAGTTCAGATCAGACCAGACCACTAAATTTTAGTTCACAAGAAAACATCCATAGTACGGAGTACGCTACTAAGAGAAAAATAATTTTAATCAAATTTTAGATAACGTTCTCTCCATCACTTAAATCAATCTTGACCAAATTTTATAAAATTAATAAAGTAAAGGTAGATTCTATGGTAACCTTAGAGTATCATACCTTTGTCCACATGGACCAATCAGAATGATGTAGTTGAATTATTTAAATCTAAATTAAAAATGATGTAATGATTTGAACCAATCAAGTGAGTGGTAGGTACGGTACCCCATTTTTTAAATGGGTACCGGAGTTGTCACCTAAAGTAAAAGCTGTGGACTTTAAATTTGTATAATAGAAAAAGAATTAGAAAGAATCATAAATTTTTTACACAAAAAATGACAAATAATGCACTTGACAATTAAGCAAAACAAAATACTTCCTCCGTCCCTAAATGTTCTTCCAAATTAAAGTGTCACGGTGATTAAGAAAGTGAGAATTGTGTGATGGAGAATTGTGCAGAGAAGGGAGAAATGCTATGAAACACAAATTCCTTGCAAAAAAAGGGAAAGTGAAATTCCTTTTGGGACGGACAAAAAGAGAAAGTTTGAAGTAAATTTAGATAGGAAAAAGTAACAAAGTTTGAAGTGGGTAAATATACCGTGCAAGTTGATTTGATAACCGTGTCAGCATCAAAACCATTTGCAACTTCTTTGCTGCAATCAAAGTGGGAAATCAACGCATCCATGAAATCTCCTTCCTCCTTTGGTTTCTCACTTTTTCCCTTCTTGTGTTCTTGAAGCAAACCTTCCATGAGATCGTCCATCTCTTTGGCAGACTTCTTCATGGCCTTCTCATATCCTCCGATGTCTATCCATCTCAGCCAGGGCAGGTAATCACCCACCACCGACGCACCCATGAGGTTAAAGAATCTCTCCACCGTCTCCGCCGCCCGGCTCCACTCTTCCTCGTGCAGCTGCCCAAAGAGTGCCTGGAACATAATTGCGGCGACTAATTTCCAGCACCACTCCTTCATCTCAAGCATGACAGCGGCCCCACCGGACTGGTCTTTCCTGTCGTCGGCCGCCAGCCAGCTCCGGTGGATGTCCTGGGAGAACGTTCTCAGCGCGGATTGCCTGACGCGCCGGAGCGCGTCGAGACGGCGGCTGGACAGCAGCTCCAGTACGACAACCTTGCGGACTTCCCGCCAAAGCTGACCGGGCGGGGCGAGTGCGAAGCTAGCGTAGTTGGATCCGAGGTGCTCGGTGGAAATGGACTTGGGGCGGCCCGCGAGAGCCGCGTCGTTGACGGTGAAGCATTCTTTGGCGGTCTGGGAGTCGCTCACGACCACGACTTCACGCGCGCCGAGCCTCAGCCGGAATACCGGGCCGTATTTGTCGGCCATGTCCGACAGGATTTTGTGGGTCGGCCGTTTGTTGGCGGCGAAGAGGTGGAAATGGCCGATTATCGGCCAAGCGAAGCCGGCTTGGGGCACTTTTCGGCCCATATATTTGCTTCGTCGGGAAACTCCCTGCATGAAGGCGAGTAGTACAAAAGTGGTAGCGAAGGCCGCCGGCAGAAGGATGAGAAGAGGAAGAGGGATCTCCATCGTTTAGTTTTAGTTAGTTGATGCGTTCATCTCCTGCAATGTCAAGACATGGAATTTATGCTGGTTTTGCTGATGTGTATGGCCAGTTTTGGCAACTACGGTGGGTATGACACCGTTCAATTCTGACCTAGAAATCGTGCCTATCTAAGTAGCTATGACCTCCATTGTCATGCACGGGTCTAACAGTGGTCCATAATGGGGGCTTATGCTGAAAATGACACTATACGTACGAACACTCCCTTCACCGGGAAAAACGTAACAGCCCCTCTGTATATTCTTTCATACTTGTAATTTGTTTTTAATTGTTAGGTATCAAAATGTTATGTTATCAAAATCCCAAGGCCCATCTTAAGAGTTTTTTGGTCTGCGTCGAACCGTAAAAAAGGCCCTGAGGAATTTTTGGGAGGAAAGTTCATGTCCGGAATTTCGGACAGGAACTGCCGTCCGGAAGGTGGTGTTTCGCCGCCTTCCTGGTGTAATTTTTTGATGAAATTTTTATTTCATGTTCCTCATCAAGTCTAGTTTATCCACACAAAAATGAAGCTAAAAATTGGATCGTGAAGGCCGTCAAATGATTTTTGGAAGATAACCACGCCAAAATATACATATAAAACGTAGTTAACTTCCAAAAATTATTTGATGGTCTTCCCGATTCAATTTTATGTTGAAATTTTTTGTGGATAAACTAGACTTGATGAGGAACATGACATAAAAACTTCATCAAAAAATTTCACAGGAAAGGCGGTCAAATGCCACCGTCCGAACGGCGGTTCCTGTCCCGAATTCAGGACATGAACTTTCCTCTATATAAAGGTAACTAATAAATTTCTGGGCCCTAATTTTTTTTTTACAAATTTGTGGGCCTGAGGCAGTTGCCTCTTTGCCTCATCTAGAGTTCCGGCCCTGCAAAATCCGACCGGCGGAGCTGACTAAGTTCTGCAATATACCTGGTCAACATTGACTATACAGCAAAAGTGGGCGGCTTTGAGGGCAGTTGGGCCAGGCAACTGCCTTGAGCCTCAACTGCCAAGAGGGTCTCCAAAAAATTCTACTCCGGTATTAGTATTAGGTGTTATTTGTAGACCGCCAATACATCGAGCGATAACTGCAAGTAGAAATTGGCTTCATAGTTCACGTCTGACTATCCTTCCTTCATCAAAGTCGTAGCTAATGAAGTCTTCTATCCAACATAAGTTGCAAAACTGGATTTGAATCATCCAATCAAAATATATGAATAAAATGGTGGAAGGTCGCATTCTGAAATCTCAACAGAGATTATGTGACTTCATCGTCTGTTTTCACCTTGCTTCTCTCATATTCTCGCAATGGTGTTTTTATATAATTTGTAGCCCTTGAAGTTGGCTTTAATATGAAACTTGAATGGTGTTCTTTGGATGTTCCTAAGAAAATATATGTTTGAACGATTGATAGAACGTCATCCTGGTCGCTCTTTTCAAGCCCTAAAAATGTCACTTTGAAATTTCCAACGCCCGGAAAACCTATTAAAATTTCCACATTTAGTCCCCGAGTATTATCACTTTGACACTTTTAGTCCTTCCACAATGATTTTGAGATAATAAGTGTAGGACTAAAAATGTCACTCCTATAATAGTTGAAGGATCAAAAGTGTCACTTTTATGAAAATCGAAGGCCTAAATGTGGAAATTTTTAAAGACGGGTACCAAAAGTGTCTTTCGCACAATAGTCGAAGGACTTAAAGTGGAAAAACTCAAAGTCGAGTACCAAAAGTTTCAGTGACATAATAGTCGGAGGACTAAAAGTGGAAAAAACTCAAGAAAAAATAAGATGAGAAGAGATTTGATTATATGATCAACCATTTCGGTAGATATATTAAGTGGTTTAGGTATATTAAAATTTTAGCTAGTCCTGATTACAATGAAGTTATTACTGATTTTGCACTTCAAAAGGTATGAATAATAGGCCAATATGGTGTTACAAGTATAAGTTTGCCTTGTGTTTTGCATATGTTTGCATTTAAAAATTTATCCTTTTGAATATTATAAACATTATATCGTGAACTTTGAGTATGCTTTTTTTCATAAGGTGATTTTTATTCAATTTATCTAATTTTAAAAGTGATTTGTATATAGTAAATATTTTTCGTCTGGGGCCTCCGAAATGCTCAAGCCGCCTCTGAGCAAAACACAATATATATACGAGTATATATATTTATATACTGCGTATAAAATGCTAGAGGTAGAGAAAGTATTGATTATCAAGTCAAGTAAGAATATTAAGAATAGTAATAGTATAAAGAAATACTAGTAATCAGAGATTCAGAGAAGAAGATGAAATTTCTATCGAGTCTGCTTAGAGAAGGAAGAAGATCGAATGAAGGCATGAATGAATAGTTGTTCGCTGACCTATTATTACAAGGTGTTGGAGGTATTGGTCCTACCAAGGCCTCCCTTTCACTTTATTTGCTGAGGTTTGCACCCTATTGTTTTACTCTCACTTTGGTACCTTTTCTTTGGTATATATCCTGATCAAATATATACCTATTTTGAGCGGTTGACTTAATCCACTTGGCTGGCCCCTTCTCTGCCTCATGTCCGCTGCACTCTTTGCTTGGCAGCCAGCTGTGAGCCTTTTTTGTCTTGGCTCTCACTCGTGACTTCCTTCTCGCCGTTGCTATTATTTAGAGGCCTTGACCTCTTCCTGTGATTGTAGCCTGCGTAAGTTTGTTCCAGAGAGCAGTGCTCTCTTCTTCTCTTTCCCTTTGTGTGAGAATAGAGAGAGGGTCTTAGTGGTGAGAAGAAAAATTAAAGTGTGCAAAAGCCTCCCCTAGAGTGGTGTGTGAGAGTGTGTGGAGATAGACCTGAGCCGGAGACGGATATACGGTCCTAACAGTGGTATCAGAGCCAGGTTCCGCCATCTGCCGCCGCCCCTGTCCACCGCCATCTGCCGCCATCCGTCAATTTGAGGTCCTGGAGGTCATCGATCGTCCACTGAAGCCTCGCTTGGTGCCGTTGCTTCCTGTTCACCTCGAATCCGGTTCCCCTCGCCGTCAGCCGTCGAGTTCGAAGCTGGAGCCATCGTCTGCTTGAGAGCCGTCGCCGGAAAGCTCGCGGATTGAAAACTGCCAATCTCGTGGTCGTTGAAATCTCTGCCGGAGCCGCCGTCCGTAGCTGGAGCCGCCGTCGCAGGGAAGGTGCTCGCCGGTCTCCGTTCGTCGCTGGTCTGCAGGAACGCAGGTCGCAGAGGACTGAGACGAAGCAGAGAGAACGCAGAGGCTTGGACTTGGGTTCTTTTTTGGGCCTCTGGACCTGGGCTGTTCATTTTGTAGTGCTGGAGCTGCTGGGCTGACTTTGGGCCTGGTGGACTGCTTCTGGAACTAAACGAGCTATTGACTGGGCCATCTGAACTGGAGCTGGGCTGCTAACCTGCTGGATTTGGGTTGCCAAGCTACTGGACCTGGACTGACCTGCTGGGCTGGTGGAGTTGCTGGAGCAGCTGGACCGCCGGTCAACGCCGGTCAATGCCGGTCAATGCCGGTCAATGCCGGTCAACAGTCAGTCAACAGTCAGAAAAATCCCAATTTTTAAATTGGGTAGGTAAGGTCGAAACCCTCTCCTAGGGTTTCGCTAAGGTAAATTGGCGATAAACACCCTAGGTGCACCGGGTGCCTCCGGATTTAATTTATTCCCCCTCCACGCGGGCCGCCGGTAGATTGTATCCCGGCCGCCAACCCCCCAGGTGCGTTTGCTAAACCCTCTCCTTTGTGGCAGATTGTTTAGTTGTTTAAATTGAATTACATAGTGTTGTTAATTTCAATTCTTGTGCGTAGGGGTGGTTTATTGGGTGTTAGGGGTAGAATTAATTAATGTTAATTGCTGCCCGGAGTTGTTTTATGTGCCAAACTGTCCATATGTGTTATTTGTTGCATGCTGCCCGGGGTTATTAAAGTGTATACTTTATAGCCCGGGTTGGATTATTTTCTGTCAAATTTGTCTGTTTAGCTTTGTGTTGTTTTGTGGTTGATACCATGGCTGCTAATCAGTATGGTATGCTTCCATTTAATGGAAAAACAGATTTTGATATTTGGAAATAGAAAATTAAGTGTGTTTTAATACAACAAAAAGTTTTCAGAGTTGTCACTGGTATTTTCCTTGAATCAGAAGATAAGGCTAAGCAAATTGAAATGAACGAAACTGCTTGTTCTACTATTTACTTGAATCTGTCTGATTCTGTGCTTAGGAAAGTGGGTATTCTTGAGTTTGCTAAGGAATTGTGGGAGAAATTGGATAGTCTCTATATTGACACCTCTTTGCCCGGGAAGTTGTTTTTACTTGAGAAATTCTTTAGGTTTAGGCTTGACCTGACTAAGGATATAGATGAGAACCTGGATGTGTTTAATAAACTGATACAGAATATCAAACAGGCAGGTGATAAACACATAGACGATTATACTCTCATAGTATTACTTAATGCCATTCCCGACTCTTATAATGATGTTAAGTCCGCTATTAAGTATGGTAGGGATGAGATTTCGTTAGATATTGTTGTTAATGGGTTAAGGAGTAAGGAATTAGACCTGAAGCATGCTAGGGGTAGTGCTAGTCAGTCCAGGGACTCCGGTGAGGCTATGTTTGTTAGAGGTAGATCTAAGGGTAGGTCTAAGAACTCTAAGCAAAATAGTCAAAGTAAGAACACTAGTCAGCCTGGGAGAAAGAGGAGCAAATCTAGGAAGAGAGTGTGTTACAATTGTGGTAACGCTGACCATTTCATTAAGGATTGCCCTAAACCTAAGAAGACCGAGCATGCTAGTGTAGCTGTTGATAAATGTGACCTTGGTGATATTTTGATGGTTTGTGACCATGTTAATTCTGTGCGTAATTCCCTGTCTGATCATGAATGGTTGATTGACTCTGGTTGTACCTATCACATGTCCCCCTTTAGAGATTTGTTTTCTACATATGAATTATGTGATAGTGGCTATGTTTCCTTAGCTGATAATAAGAGATGCAATGTTCTTGGTGTTGGTGATATATGTCTGAAGTTTTCTTGTGGCTCTGTGTTTACCATTAAGAATGTGAGGCATGTCCCTGATTTGTGTCATAACTTGTTATCTGTTGCTGCTTTGGAGAGTAGTGGTTTACAGGGAAAGTGGGGGAATGGTTGCATGAAAATCTTGAAAAATTCTCTTGTGTTGTTTAAAGTTGAGAAGGTGAATAACCTTTATGTGTGTCATGCTAAACCTTTTACTGAGTCTGTGAATGTTGTATGTTCTGATAAGACCTCTTTGTGGCATAATAGGCTAGGACATATGAGCAATAAGGGTTTAGAT